TCTGTCGATGATATGATGCTGTCACCTGGCAGGACGGAAATGGTACGAGAACAGCATCACGGGTGGACAGAGGATGAAACCAGGACTCATGCCCTGCAGAATATCGTTTTTCGATGACATTTGCAGTAGATACACGATCATTGTTTCTTTCTGTTTGAACACGCCACGTGAAAGCGGTAGCATTCAATGACATGAACACTCTTTCAATGTTCACAAACACAGGCCCTTGATGACATCTGGTTTCGTCCACTGATGCGCCTCGGTGGACAACAAGAGCTTTAGAAAATAGCCCACTGATTTCCTACAGTTGCCTTCTCTTATTTGGCAAAATGTATCCAAATAAATGTTCTTTTGAGCTACATAGAGTTATGAAACATTCACTTGTACTTTACGCACGTTCCTTTTATGTGAAAAACGAAAGAGGCACTTTCCTTACCCCTGACAAAAAAAAAACAACAACTTGAAAACGTGCTATCAGTTTCGACGTTAGGAGCTGGTAAATGAGGTCACCGGAAGTTTTTTTTGTGGTACTACGTTTGCAACCTTGAAACCACAGAAGATATATATTTGGACCTCTTCCTTATAGTAATATGCGTCTGACCCATGCCAGCGACTCTACATGTTTTAGAGCGCGGCTCTTTGGCATCCGTTCCTGTGTTGAGTGGCTTCGCTATCGGCGCAAGCGATAGAATGAACGAGAATGAAAGAGAGTGAACACTGGTTATCGATATGACAAATCACTGGCCTCTAACCTGGCTTTCCTCTTTCGTCAAGAGCTGGTCTCTCAGTCGGAACTCGTACGCATGCACGGCTGGCAGGTGCATTCGGCTGGCTTCGCTTATCTAGACTATTGTAGAAGCTATAGTACTCCAGCTTGCCGTACCAGGGCGGTCGCCGTTTCACTTGGTTTTCGACGCCGGCAGCTGGACGGAGTGGTGTGCGTAGCAATTAAGCACTGCGAGTCTCTGTGGCTTACATTGCTACAACTGCTAGAGCCGAAACTTTAAATTCAGTTGCCGTTGCCACAACATAAAATATGCACTCGTTTTTTTAAGGGACAACACTTAGGCGCCCGTTTCCACGTTTAGCGGCGTCGGCATCGTCGTACCCGACAGAGTGCACATGGGCGAAAGAGAGTGAGCTTGAACACAGTGAAGGATGAAAGACGGTGGTCGCGATGACAGCTTGAAGAGGAAAGAATAACAGTGGCGAGGCGATGGGTTTCGCGACGGCTATCCATGCAACCACCCAACCACACGTGGCGCCAAAGTAGTGCGCGCCGCTGTGTGGTTGCCAGTGACGCCATCACTAAAATAGGAGAGTGTCCCGCGATACTTTATATGGAGGTAAAGCACGGCATGAACACAGGCCTCGCTGAAGTTGGAGCCGGTGGCTTCACAGCTCTCTTGCGCAGCTCCGAACTCAACGACCAAACCCTGGCCGTCCAAGGTTTCAGCGAACGGGCCGCCAAACTCGGCTTGGCCGTCTTTACTTGGGACTAGCCAGGGGATGCGAAGTCTCCCCTGCGTCTCTTCTGGACCCAAATAAAGTTTTCATCATCATCATCATAGCCATGAACGCAGGCCTGCATGCGACAGCTGTTGTGGAACGGAAGCGCACGCTGTCTTTCAAGCCTCAGGGTTAGCGAGGCAGTCGCACTAAGCTCTGTCTGCGGCTGTTGCTGCGAAATGAGCTACACGAAACTGTCTGCGCGAGTCACGCTATTCTCGGCGTGGTATTAAACTGTACATAAATAAACGCCTTCCTTACACCATTTGCTTCAACGTATCGCAAAATCAAACCAACTGTACAGCTGCGAGCAGAATTTGCTTTAGGCAGTGTTGTAATGTCTGTGAACATATTTTTGTGCCCAGGTAAACACTGGTCTGTCCAAGGAAGTATGGCTATCACCGAAAGTCTACAATATACCCCCCCCCCCTTTTTTTTCGGCTAAAGACCCCATGGTATTCTAGCCCAGGTTAATAACATCGCTGGATTCTTCAGTAAAGTTTTGTGATATCAAATATATACGACATTATGCTATTCCGGCCATGCCATACCGTATGCCACACCATATTACACTAGCATACCGATCACGCCAAAATGGGTAATATCCCCGCCTTTCCTCTTTTTCGTTTTTCTTCCTTTCCTTACCATGTCATACCACACCTTACCGTACCGCACCATACCATATCCTACCATACCATGTCATGTCATGCTGTACCATACCATACCATACCATACCATACCATACCATACCATACCATACCATAGCATACCCTACCCTACCATACCATACCATACCATACCATACCATACCATACCATACCATACCATACCATACCATACCATACCATACCATGCCATTATGTAAAGTCAAAGTTTGCAGAACATTGTATGGAGTGCACAAAAAGTAATCGAACTATACTGCACTTTATCAGACTGCTCACTAGAACGTTGTATAAAATTTATCTAACAAGGGTAGTGTCTCTGATTACTTTTCTGTATATGACGACCTGAGAGGGAAGGCGAGGGCGAGGGTAGAAAATACATATTTGTAAGAACGGTATTACCTGCTAAATGTGCAGTCGAGTTGTGCTAGAAAAGAGACCTTCTAAGCAATTTACAGAGGGGTTTAGTGGTATGGGAATTTGTTCCACTGATTTTTGTCCTCCTGTAATTTTTTCTCTTTTCAAGATGAAAGAAATTCTCTATATACCCGACGCATTGTGAAGGTTGCCATGAGTTGATATTTTTTTCTTGTCCCCTTTTTGGATTTACGGTTGAACGTCTTCTACGCTAGCTTCATTCATGTTGGAAAGCATGCAATGTAGACTTATTGTAACCCTAACACCTTTTAGGACGTCCTCGAGAGCGCAAAAGACCATGTTCAGATTAGTACTGTCACTGCAGTTGTACTTGCTGTGTAGATACCAAACGTTTTTGCAAATGTTAAGGTCAACTGTGACTAATGGGTCTGTAAAACTGTTTCATCATGGTTGTGCCCATCACTGTGCCGATGCTGTCTTATAAAGTGGCCATTACAGCAGCTAGTTGACGCGAGTTAATGCTAGAAGCTTTAGAAAAAAAGTGTCAAACAAGGGACAAATATTTCTAATAGCATCAGTATGCATTATGTTACTGTAAATGAATGACACGCTCAGCCAGCTGTTATGTGAGATGTTAAATTACGTAAATTATGCAGTAACGTGTCATAAAGTGTCTAAAAATAAAACTTGTTATGCGGCTGCTTAGTATAAAGATGCGTTTAAAAGCAGTTTTACAGCAATAAATAAAATATGTATTTTGTGGTAATTTGTTACATGATTTCACTTGTCTACGGCGTGTGGATAACACAAGAATCGCATCAACATTACACCTTAGAGCTTGCTTCCGCTATGCTATGCCGTTTTTACAGAAAAATACTTTGATCGAAATAAGTACCCATTTTTAGGTGCTTAATTTGAAGAGGGTGCTTTTCAGGTAAGTTCGATTCAATTGTGGCTTTTTACATATAAAACTACCACATGATAAAACACGTCATAAGCAGGTGAGTCCGGATTAAATATCGACCAGCGGAGGCCATCATCATCATCAACATCATTATCATTATCATCATCATCATCATAATCATCATCCTGACTACGTCCACTGCAGGACAAAGGCCTCTCCCTTGTTCCGCCAGTTAACCCGGTCCTGTGCTTGCTGCTGCCAATTTATACCCGCAAACTTCTTAATTTCATCTGCCCACCTAACCTTCTGTCTCCCCCTAACCCGCTTGCCTTCTCTGGGAATCCAGTTAGTTACCCTTAATGAGCAGCGGTTATCCTGTCTACGCGCTACATGCCCAACCCATTTCCATTTCCTCTTCTTGATTTCAACTGTGATATCCTTAGCCCCCATTTATTCCCTAATTCACTCTGCTCTCTTCTTGTCTCTTAAGGTTACGCCTACCGTTTTTCTTTCCATTGCTCACTGCGTCGTCCTCAATTTAAGCTGAACCCTCTTTGTAAGTCTCTAGGTCTCTGCTCCGTAGCTAAGTACCGGCAAGATACAGCTGTTATATACCTTCCTTTTGAGGAATAGTGGCAATCTACCTGTCATAATTTAAGAGTGCTTGCCAAACGTGCTTCACCCCATTCTTATTCTTCTAGTTACTTCAATCTTGTGGTTCAGCTCCGCGGTTATTACCTGCCCTAAGTAGACATAGTCTTTTACAACTTGAAGGGCACTATTACCTATCTCGAAGCGCTGCTCTTTTCCGAGGTTGTTGTACATTACTTTCGTTGTCTGCGGATTGATTTTAAGACCCACCTTTCTGCTCTCCTTGTCTAACTCCGTAATCATGAGTTGCAATTCGTCCCCTGAGTTATTCAGCAATGCAATGTCATCGGCGAAGCGCAGGTTACTAAGGTACTCTCCATTAACTCTTATCCCTAGCTGTTCCCATTCTAGGCTTCTGAAAAACCTCCTGTAAGCGTATACATTTTCGCGCTCACAAAAAATGCCGCAACCGTGGCGCAAAAACCTAACCGTTGATATTAGCAGCACTACACCTTACCTTCTAAAACTACTCAAGTAGGTACTCAGTTGGTTCCGGCAGAATACAAGTGCCGCATCAGGTTTTCGTTCCTGCGAGGTAACGTTACGATGTAAAGACATCAACGCTTTTAATAAAAAAAAAGAAAAAAAATACGGTTTTGTCGTGTCGCACACAGCACTGTTGTCCCAGTCTACGAGCACGCAGTTGTTATGACTGTTCACCGAAACAAAGGCACCAGCACAACGCATACTGAACATTCGCGAAGTTGTAGAGATGCAAGTATCACACTCTTTTGTCCTGCCGCCGTTTAGTTTCCCCTTTTCTTAACTGCCGTACAAACCATGGCCCTGGGCTCGGTTCACTACACCAGTCCAGGTCTGTTCGAGTGTCCTTGGCCCTGAGCGAGTGGCCACAAACGCTGTCGTATAGAATAGCGCACAAGCCCTCGTAACGCAGACGCACGAGAGAGAAGCAGGGTTGATGTGGAGGCAGTGAGTTCTTGCTGGCGCTTAGCGCGATGATTACCGCCACCGTTCACAGCCTCGGCAGGGTGATGAAAACCAGTAGACTTGACAGCAATGGCGCTAGCGCTCTGGTTCCCCCGTTGGTGGCTGCGCATGTTAATATGGTGAAGGGAGAAAAAAGGAAGAAAAAAAAACAGAAAAACTCAGAACGTGGTTTTCAAAAAGGTTGACAATGGTTGGTTTACCAGAATTTTATTTAAAATTTACTATTTACACGTGTTATTTTATCTTATAATAGCTCAATGAAATCAATAGGCACACACGGGACCTTTTTCTAAATATACAATAAATAGCTTTTAATATAACGCTAGTGCCACTATTATTTCAAAGACAGCGCAGTACAGCTTTTACCTCTGGGTTCAGTCAGTTGTTCTGAGATACAGTAAAAAAAAAGACAACTAACAATATTATTTTATCACGTTTAATCTCCCAAAATTATGTTACGCTTATGAGTGACGTCATTGTGGAGGGCTCCGGAAATTTCGACCAGCTGGGGTTCATTAACGTGAACCTTAATTTAAGCACACGGGTCTCGAAAAAACTGATGTACTTAAGTGTATTGTCCCGGGTCCTATATAAGCTTTGTTTTTTTAATGAATCCTTTCAAATTAGCAAGTCTACTGTATGATAGCGTGATAGTCATCAAACCAATTTCGCTTTGAAACGTTAGGTACTCCCCATGGTAAACAATAGCACTGAAAACTTTCCGAGGCCCGGTTACCAGGACACCACGCGGAAAGTTCTCACGTACCGTGTTTGCTAGCTGCTCTGAATCCCGACATGGTTCGGTGCTTGTTCTTGATGTTCGCTTCCACACTACTGGTGTTGAGGACGTTCGACAACGTCACCGTGCAGCGGAGGTGCATGCGTTCATCCTCGAAGTGCTCGGGCCTCACTCTGAATTGAAGGCCCAGTGACGCGGCATATTTCGGGTGCCCATGGAGCTCGTACCTCACCAGGTACTCGGGACGAGCCTGTGAGTGGCGACATGTCATTAGCTTATTTTCGGTTTTGGCTAACGGAGAATGGAAGGTCATGGCAAGTGGGGCCCTGTCATGAAAATTATGATTGCGCTTAGAAAAACATTTCGCGATCACTGCTGCACTGCTCTGTTCTGATCATTTGGAGGGATTACGAGATGTGTGAAACAAAGGGACGTTGTGGTGCTCCATATCCATATTTATTTTAGAAAGGTGTTAGAATGTTGTTCGGGAGGTTGTTTCTAGTAGTATAGGGGCAAGAAGACCATGATCCATGAGGTGTTGGACAAAAGAGGTAAGAGTTGTCTCTTGACGTGAAGAGATAGGAATTGAATAGGTTGTGTTCGTCAAGCTCATGTTTTTTTTTTCATCGCGATGGGCTTTGCAAAAAACAAGCTGCCAATAGTACTGCCGCCATTCTATAAAGCTGTCAAACCCAAGCGTAGGTATAGCACACTATTTAGTATAGAATAGGCTTGCTATACGGCGACACAAAAGAGAAGAAAAACAACAACCAAAGTGACTGTTTTTATGTATAGAGTTTCCTAAAATTAACTAGCGGGGGGACCTGGCACTGCGATCGTTCAGCGACCATGGGAATGATGGGTAGTACACGGATTCGCCTAGTCTTCGTACTTGCAGGCGGCGAATCGCACTTGTGGCTTTGTTTATTGCTGTGTCTCAGTTTTGTTTCGTAAGGAAAAAAAAACACACACTTTTATACTTCGAGACCTGATTTGATATGGTAAGCTTAAAAGATCAGGATGGTGAAGCGAAACTGCTGAAAATTTTCCAATTGTATTTAAAGCAAAGGAGCTTCAAGCCATGCGAAGCCAAAAGGAACATAAAGTATGAAGACTATACACCTTTTCACAGGAGGAAAAAAAAAACGCACTGCCATGATGGGCTGCGCACGGGAGTAGAATGGCTAAGGGCGCAGCCTTGTCCGTGCATTTTTGCATTTTTGAGGGGTCAGGCCGATTTGAGCAGCCCAAAGAGGACCATGGCGGCGCCGTTGAAAAGGCTTTAGGCAAATCTGTGTACTACCCACAATTCTTATGCTCTCTGAAGCACCGTGCGTTGCAGCTCCCATAGACACTAGCGCCAGAGTTCCCTCTAGTGTATATATAGGAAACTCAATGGTGGCTCACGCCACGCGCTTGGGATCGAGAGGTCGCTGGTTCGACGCCCCACGACGGAGCTTTTTCTTCTTATTTTTTTGCTATCTATTAGCATATATTTTACAACGTCCTATACAGCTCCAAGCCACGCGAACCCCCACGAAGCTAGAAGTCTGATTATTAGACAAATCTGTGTACTATCCACCATTGCCATTCTGGCTGAAGCGCTGTATGTTGCAGATCTCATAGACACTTGCGCCAGAGTTCCCTCTAGTATATATTTAGGAAACTTTATGCTTCTATGTAACGAGTTCAGTTTTTTTTTGTAATAAAGTGTTTCTTCAGGCAACGTTATCGTTGCCTGAAGAACTGTGCACATCGCCAACAGGCTTCAAAATTAAAGTATTTTTGTGCGCTTGCTTACCTCCTTATCGTTAATGAACCACCTCAACTCCGGAGGCCGATCGTACTCCGCAGATCTACAGGTCAGGTTCACGAGGTCGTTGACCCGGTACTTTGGCAGACCACCGTCGATTCTAGGACTGTGCGGACTTGTCTCTAAAAGGTAGAACACGAGGCAATCCAATAAGGTACAGAAAAAAAAAACGATTCACGAACGACGTGCAGTAACATTTGCCCACAAGGACTTGACGTCCTTTCGTAATTTTCAAGCATCCTTTTGTAAAAAAGTGGATGCATCTCTATGCATTTCTGCATTGCTTAAAAACATGGCTTCTTGGACTCGAGTCGAAGCCGCAGAAAATATTTTTTCTGGTTTCCTCGCTGTTTATCAAATCATACCTGGATACGGTAAGAAGGGCACCGTGTCGCCGACGATAAGCTCTTCACTGGATGTCAGGAATGTCTCCGAGATTACGCTGACACACTTAAGTCGCAGCGAGCTGCCAATCATGTGGTAAGGCTGCAGGACGAATGACAGCAGAACTGCCGAACTCTGCAGCCCTTCCGAGTCGTACAGCGTCTCCAGCTCATGGACGTCACTGAAGGGAACCTGCAAAAGTAAAGAGAAACAACAAGAACTAATGCTGACACGTCCTTAGGAATATATCGCGAACCGAATATAGAATGAACCATTATTTTGACAAGATATCTGAACGGTAAACGTGAGAGAAACGGATAAAGCACAGTTCACAATCACAAAGCTCAACAATGTTTAGATTAGCCACTCAGTCAAGCCATAAATCGTCTCCATGTGGTTTAACTTCGCTGATGTATGATACAACCTCTCATAGATCTCATATCACCTTTATTAGGTGTCATACGGGCCTATCACGTGGTTACTTTTCTAACCTTATCACTCAATCTAATATCATATTTCTGGCTTCTGGCCAGGCTACGCAGAGAGTTGAACTAACGTCTCAAATAGTGAACAAAGTTGTCTCAAAAGTTTATGATTCGTTTTTTGTGCGCAATAAAATTGGTGATGTTTGCCCGATGGCACAAATTTTTATCGATATATGGCAGGTTGTTCGGGTCTTTGTTAAAGGATATTGTTATACGAGAAGCAGTACAAAACGACGCACGTTGCTCACACTGTGAGTACAAATGTTACCAGCGAAGGACTGCCCGTAGGTATTCGTTTAGGGCTGCCGTATAGACCTACATAAGGGGCGTAGTAGGACTTCTTTTTCGGGAGGGTTGGATTACGTCACTGTTTATGTATATTCGTGCGTGCATTTGTGTGTGTAGATGTATATATACCCAAACAAACTGATGAAAAATAACGGGGGTGAGGGAATTGGAAATCCCACTCTTTAAGCTACGGCCATGACCCTAATGTTTATGTTTATTGAGGCTGGAGTATGTGCCTGTGTATATGTCACAGGTACATGAATGCGTCAGTCGTGTCATTGTTTCATCAACGCTACGTCGATGACACTGCCACTGGTCGATCACATTCCTGCGAAGTAACACTACAGCATCTACGATTAGCTCTGAGCCTGTGTCCATGAATGCTAAGAGTACCCACTACCGACGTGCAAAAAAAAACAATAAAAAAGAGAAAAAGTTATTCCTTGAGCGTAGCTTGTATTATCCCGGCACATGTGAAAAAAAAGAAAAGAAAGAAAAGACGACACAGACATCTAGAAAGGTAGGAATAGTTCGGTTGTACATGCAGTAACAACTTCGCATCGCAACTATGACAACGCAAGCTCTCGACAACAATTAGCCTGTCTCGCCACTTCGGTGGTCCTGCGCCGATATTGAATGTAAACGTTAAACAATAGCCATTTACCCACCTTATGGTCGTTGATGTACCAGAGAAGCTTGGCCGCTGGCAGCGAGTACGGTGCCCTGCAGGACACGTCAAGACGTTCCCCGACTTCGTACTTGGCTCGCGTGCCTCGTATCTTGGGTGGCTGTTCGGGAATAACTGAATAATAAAAATAACAGATGTTTCGGAGACGCCGATTTACAGGAGCTTGAGCAAAAGAACTCTTCACATTAAGCGAATGAAAGAGAGAGCGTACTAACAATTCAAAAGCTGCACACGCCAAGGAAAAAGTTTCTTTGCCGAAAAACAACAGAAATTGTGATTCCAGCTCTGATTCTCTAGCAGAGTCACCCAGGATTTTCGTGCAATGCCTGTAGTTCTGATACAGTGGTCGCTAAGGAGCTGAGTTCACAATTATGACAAGTAATGTAAATTGTATGTATACAGCACAGTCAAGTGGTAGGCACGGATATTTAATTTCATCGTCGTTTCATTACGGTAAGCTAATATGATACAGGATACATCCCATAGCATGCTTAAGAATGTACGCAGCGGCGCTTTTGAGTGGTGTGAGCCGATTGTCGGCGAATAAAATACTTTGATTGCAGTCTACTTGTTATGGCCCCCTTGCTTCTTTTCTTCTAATCAGTATGACGCTGCTGCAAAATCCAGGTGTTAAGAAAAAGGCGTTGAATGATTTAAAGTACTTGGTACTCAGCCATTGGAGAGCAGAGTGTAGTCCCAACAGGACTATCACCGTCTATTAGGAAAAAAAAAATCACAGCATATCCACGGACTGAATGACGATCAGTGAGGCGAAGCATCCGTCAGTCCGTCCGTTCGTTCTTGATTCCGTCCATGCGACCGTCCGTACAACCATCCATGCGTGTGCGTCCATCCGTCCGTCCGTCCGTCCGTCCATCCGTGTGTCCGTCTGTGCGTCCGTCCATACTTGCATCCGTCTTTTTGTCCATCCATGCATCCGTCCGTCTAGTGAACGCTTCAAGTACCGCCATCTCGCGTCTTTTCATCATATATTCATCATATAAAAGTACCGTCGTCCAGCGGACACTCTAAGGACTAAACGAGAGGAGGCTACCTACTACTATTACTACTACATACATCGCGGACCCACGGCACGGCATGACCCACGGCATAGGGAGCATCGCCCCTTCAGAGTACATGGTACTCTACTATGAAAAATCATGAAGCCGTCCTGTGGGCCTCACACATGATGACGCCCTGTCGAAAAAAAATTAGGTCAACTTTTGAGGATATCCACAGGTGTCTTTATCAGCGTGTGTTTAGAAAAAGTGGTTTACGATTTAGAGTGCTTGGTACTCTACTATGGGAGAGAACAAAGCCGTCCCGTTTGCCAGTGTGCTATGTGAATTGGCGAAATGTTTTGGGGAATTTTAAAGCTTTAGTGCAGCTCAATTTTGAAGAATAGCATGGACGTTCCCCATGTGTTGCGTAACCTACTACGACTCTTTGGTGGTTTCGCCCGTATTTACGTCTATATTTACGACATGCTTGCGGACACTCATCACTAAAGAACCAGCATTAAAGGAACTCAAAAATTTATTAAGAACTTTACTTTTGCCTGCCAAACGCGCATAGTCAGGATGCATTAGGAGAAGTTTTTGCATTTGTTCGATATAAGTTTCACTAAATATTTCGCCAGCATGAATAGATGCAATCGAGAGTGCTGGGGCTGTGTGCGACCTCAAACTGTAAATGAAGGCCCATTCATGGGTTGCTACTATAGTTTCTACGAAATAAATTTTGAAGTTATGTACCATTTTTCTTTATTAATTTTGATGCAGCACGTTTATGAACCCAGCAAGCTTCTGGTTATGCCTTGCTGACAGCATTATTAGTAAAGTATAAGCAGACCATGGCCGCACTCGCAGAATGTGCAGCACTTAGTTTTATATACAGTCTGTCATGCTGTGGAAGTTCTGATTGACCGAGCCGCCACGGTACTATAGAATGCTGTCATTCTAGGGCAGTGAATCATATAAATAACTACATCCATAGCCTAATCTTTAGATGCTGGACTTTTTTATAGACAATATCCTGTTGTGCTTGTTCCGCTCACTTTCTGTAGCGAGGTACGAAGTCCACAATAATTTTTAGCGCATTTTATAGCGCGTGCTACAACTGCTGCAGCATGCTAGAAAAGTGTTATCTAATTGGTTAATGTTGGCCATTGTTGCATAAATAACCGCATATGCCAGCTGACGTTTACAATCCAGTGTTAGAGGTAGCAACACTGTGTTCATTCAATCTTGATCCACTGATTTATATATCTGACAATGTATTTTTGCATACTGTTGTCGAACCTCTTTTCTAAGTTTAGCTTCGACCTTAGCGATTTTCTTTTTAGGGGCGAAGCTCTTTACGCCGTGGGTCGTATGTCCCGTGTCATCGTAGTTCTCGTAGTAGACAGTTGCATTGCATGTCAATAAAAACGGTGTCACAGCACATCACAGCATATCACAGAGCGAATGATGATAAGTGGGGCGAAGCGTCCACCAGTCCGTGAGTGCGTTCGTTGGTCCGTCTGTGCGTCTTTACGAGTGTCCGTCCATGCGTCCGTTCGTCCATGCATGCGTCCATGCGTCCGCTTCGGTCCGCTCGTCATCATTCTGGATATGATGCGATTTTTTTGTCTTAGTCTCACCACCCGCAGGCGTAGAGAAAAAAAAACAATGGTCTCACCGAAGACCTTGATTTCTTTTTCACCGACCACGGTTTGAAACGAAGGCGCCTCGGCAGAAGCTTCGCATCGGTAGCTCCCTTCGGTCGACAAGTTCACCGACGCGATGAACACGTGACCTTCTCGAGATCGGGACATCTGCGAATGATAAGAAGTACAGAATCTGAGTTATAGATCTCTAAGCATGCTTCATGTCTGAGGTCACAACCATCCTCTTATATTTTAGAGCGTTCATACTTATACGGCACAAGGTGTACTCATTGAATGTTTCACTAATAGCATATGTCTTCTAAAATAACAAAGCAGGTACACATGAGAGTGAGTCGCACTTTCTTGGCTCGTCTTTCAAAGGTTCACCATGAAGATCAAAGATACGAGAGATACAAATATGAAAGCTGTTCACGTCATCATACGTTCGAAATTTCGCACTACGTTTTGGAGAGGAAAAATAATGCAAATATTGATTGTACAAACGCTTTAGAACACGTTGAGAGATTACACAGTATAAACAGTCGTATTGCAAGCACCTTGTGTCATCCGCTGGTGACGGGCATCTCGGAGGGGGCGGGGTCTATCATGCTTTCAGAATTACCAACCAGATGGCGCATTGAGCGCACGTCGCCACGTCGCCACGACACGGCTGCGCGTGCTCTCATCTCCTACGGGTACTTTGCCCCGCGGAGAGGAGGCAGGTGGGTGCTCATTCGCGCGTCCTTATCTCGCTGTGGAAAGGATCGTACGTCTTCGCTGGCTTTGGACTTTCACCAGAACAATTCTATTGTAGTGACCGGGCGCACAAAGGTCCCGGCAATTGTTGCACAGTCTCCATTTGCGAAAAAGGCGTGCTTTTCAGACACAGTGAAGTAACAACTGAGACGCTTATTCGCGTTCATCTGTACCTATGAGTAAGTTTCGTGTGTCATTTGTGCGTGAGAGAGAGTAAAACTTTATTGAAGGGGAAAGGGAGAGGGGCGTTTTAGAGCCTTTATGGTTGGGGCCCTACGTCCAGGGCTCCACTGGCCTTAGCCGCCCGCCGGACTTGATCCAGTAGTGCGAGCTGCACTCCTGGGTCCGAGCTAGCGAGGTGTGCCTCCCACTGCTCCATACTAGGTGTTAAAGGTTCGCCGAGAAAATTGGTTATGTCACTTGGTTTACGATCGCACCCCCACGATATGTGGTAGAGAGTCGGTCTTCCGCCGCACCACGGACATACAGCCGGGTAAAGAGTTGGATGTATCGCGTGTAACTTCAGTAGGTGCGGAAATACATCCGTTTGAATTTTTCTAAGGTCAGTGGCCTCTTCCCCATTAAGGGATCTGTGAGGTGTTCCACATTTTTGACGCGTGAAGCGCTGGTGAGCTAGAATCTCCCTAGGTAAAATTGGCATGGTCAATGAAAGAGATGGATTCTCCGCTCGGTTACAAAACGCACGAGCTAGAGCGTCCGCCCTTTCATTGCCTTCGAGACCTGCGTGTCCCGGGCACCAGATCAAGCGATGGTGGTGAGTGAGTTTGGATCCTAGCAACCTCAGCCCCATTGCTGGAAGGCGGCCCCTTAAAAGAGCCGGCAGGCTTCCTGGGAGTCGGATAAAATAACTGATGGCTCCCCTCTACGCTCCTGAAACCTTAAGGCTAAGGCTATGGCCATCGTCTCCGCCTTTGTAGCCGAGGTCGTGCGTACGGAGGCACTCGTTAGCAGCGTCATGTTGTTGTCGACAACAGTAATTATGTGTCTCTGCCAATCGAAACTGGCCGCATCGACGTACGCGACATTTGAAGCTGAGCCGAATTGCTTTCGAAGCCAGTTTACCCTCGCAGTACGTCGCTCAGCGT